ACACTATATTGAAAAAAATATATTTTTCAGAAAAATATCAGCAATACCATGGAAGAGACCCACTAAAAACCTGATTAAAATACATGAATTTGTACCAAGAATGATTATTCTATTTGTTGTTTAGATTACACATTTAATGTTTAGATAATAAATGTAAAGAAATATTTAAATATTTTTATGTCACAAACATGTATCTTAGAAAAAAAGTTTTGAAATATTTTTATTAGAAATATTCTATAGATCTACCAAAAGAAAATAATTTGCTAGTCAATAAATATTCCAAAAAATATAAAATTTTAATTCTTTTTAAATCCCCTTCTCATTCTCAGCAGTATCCTGATTTACATGATAAATTAAAAAATCCACTGTAAATTTCTGAGCATTATGACTAATCAATCATGCCTTCATCCTCTTTATGACATAACTACAAGGAGCCAATGATTACCAAGGCATGTCTTACCACCTGGACTTTCCAACCTCACAGAGCATTGTTTGTTCCCAAGCTGGCCACCCCTCCCTAATCCTTCCAGAGTCTCATGAGATCATGGTCAGGCACCAGCAAAATCTCTATATCGTCAGCTTTTTTTCTGATCATCCCTCTGAGTTCACTGTTTCCTCTTCAGCCCTCTTAAGTGGGTGGCTGATTTCTTTTCTACACCCCTCTGGTTCTTGAGGTGGGCATTCTTGGTACTTCATTACCATTTCCATTCCTTTACCACACCCTACTCTCACTTTAAAAACAACAACAACAAAAAACCCTTAAAACTGCCAGGTACAGATTCCTAAAGAGAAATCCCCCATGTTTCCTAAGCATTTTAGCACTTGGCTCATTGTTATTCTCTCTCCAACAACACTATTCCTATCATAATTTTTGGTATTTTCAATATCCAAGTAGATGAAACCTTCTGATATTCTAGCCTCTCTAACGATCTTTTCCTCTACTTCAGACTCCGTAGTTATAGCCTAGACTTTGTCTTTACCAACATTGCAACTGCTTCATAATCTCAACTTCAACCATCATAATCACTTATCTTTTTCCCTTAGACCCCCCCTTAGCATCCTAATTCCAATAGTTTTTTTATTCTATTAGGACTCACAATCCATTAAAACTACCTTTACACTGTCTCTCACTCCCTTCAAATTTTCACATACCTCTTTATATGGCTTAGATTCCATAGTCAGTCATTAACATCAGTCTTTTGCATCAAACTCAACCCCCTGGCCCTCTATCACTTTGTCATACTTACCTGGCAAAACTCCAATCCTTGTCAAATCCAACTCTCTGCCTATTATTTAGTTTGCATTCCCAGAGCAATATAAGGTTGAAGAAGAACATACAACCAGGTTATCTGATCTCACTGTAAATTCATTACCACCTGAAGTGCACCCTTAGTGATACCCAGCAATCCAACTACATTTCCCTAGTCCACCCAACTTGCCCTCACTTCTAACCATCCATCTCATACCTACTCCTCTTTCTTCAAATGTCTACCTCCTTCCCCACTGTCTACTAATACATTGCTTCCAATTTCACTCAGAAAACAGAAGCAACCTGCAGAAATTGTCTACATGTTCTCTCTATCCCTCCTAGATGCACCTTTCCTCCACTTATAAATTTGACCATGCTCCAATCTTTAACCAATCTTTCCCCCTTGTGTTCTAGATCCTAGCCCTTCTCACTTTCTAAAGGACATAACTCTAGCAATTCCTCCTCTTTCTACTACAACATCAACCTATCCCTCTCTGTTGGATCATCTCCACTCATATATATGCTGTAATCTCTCTCACCTTAAAAAAAACAAAATTTTTCCTGACCCAACTTTCTCATCTAACTACCTCATTCTGTGGGAGTGTCATCCTCACTAACTCCAATTCCTTCCCTTCCATTCTCTTGAATCCACTTCAACAAAGCTTTCACTTTTTTTTTTTTTTTTTTTTTTTTTTTTACCACTCTATAAAACTTGCTCCAGATCATCAACAGCCTGCATACTGCTAAATCTAATGGTGAATTCTCAATCTTCAACTTGCCCCACCAGGAACACTTGACGTAGCTTATTATTTTCTCCTCCTTAAAGCATTTACTTCATCTGGCTTCTAAACATCTTTCTTGTCTCTTGGTTCTCTTAGTCTCCTTGGCTAAATCCTCCTCTAACTTGATCTCCAAATATTTTGGAGTGACCCAGGGCCCAGCCCTTGGACCTCTTTTCTCATCTACATTCTCTCTCCCTAGATGATTTCATCCAAGTTCACAGCATTAAATACCATCTACATATCAACAACTCCCACATTTAGATTCCTAGCCAGGACCTCAATTCTGAACTCAAGGAGGCATCAGCTAAAGATGTGTATTTCTATCTCTACCTCACATTTTTCTCTGAGCTTGAGACCCATTTATCTAACTATGTACTTTACATCTCTAGTTGAATTACCTCAAAGAAATCCTACACAAACCATGTCCCAATGCAAACTCATAATCTCCACCCACTGCTCCACCTCTAAAATATGCTCCTCTTTAAGTGTCTCTGATACCTGAAAACAGCAGACTCACTTCCTCAACTGGATCATCCAGAAACACAGATGTTACCCCTGACACCTCTTTATCCTTAATATATGATCCATCCTGTTGACTTTACATTTTAAATATGTCCTGAATGCATCCTCTTTTCTCCACACCCATGTCTACTCTAGTCCAAGCTTCCATCACACTCAACCAAACTAATACAGATAACTCCTAATAGTCTCTCTGCATCCACTCCTGCTCAAAATGAGAGTCCAACCACATCTCCTCTCTGCTTCAAATTTTAATACCTTCCCATCTCTTTTAGGATAAAAACAAGATTCCTTAATAAAGTCCAGAAGGCCTTGGATAGGGCACCCACTGCCTACCTTCACAGATTAATCTTTCATCAATCTCTGTGATGGAGTTTGGATGGGTTGTCCCCTCCAAAACTCATGCGGAAATTGGATCCCCAATGTGGCAGTGTTGGAAACTGATTGAGTCATAGGGGTGGATCCGTTATGAATGGATTAATGCTCTCCCTGGGGGAGGGCGGAGTAATGAGTGAATTCTTGCTCTATTAGTTCCCGCGAGAGCTGCTTGTTTATAGGACCCTGGCACCTCCTCTCTCTCTCTCTTGCTTCCTCTTGCCATGTGATCTGCTTGTACCTGCCTGCTGTTTTTCCGCCATGAGTAGAAGCAGCCTGAGGCCCGTGCCAGATGCAGCTGTCCCAGAATCGTAAGCCAAATAAACTTCTCTTCTTTATAAATTACCCAGTCTCAGGTATTTGTGTTATAGCAACACAAAATGGACTAAAACACTCTGCATCACTCTACATTTTAGCATAGCGAGCTTTCTTTCAGTTCTTTGAGCATACCATGGTCCCTGCCCCCACTGGGCCTTTACACAGTGTTCCCTCTGCTAAGAACGCCAGTATCACCAGACCACTATCACCACCACCTATCTCTTTATACTTCTTAGTGCCTACCCAATCTTCAGATCTCATCTCAAAAAACACTTCCTCAGAGAAGCCTTGCCTGCCTCCTTGAACTACATCAGTTTCCCCTCATATTCACTTATCATTGCATATATCACTTAGTATTTCTAAATGTAGTTATTTTTCTGATTAGCTTGTGCTCAATGCCTATCAATCCAAAAAGACCTTAAGGTCAATGAAGGAAAAGATTGTGCCTTGTTTGCAATATTGTATCTCTAGCCTCTGGCAGAGTATACAGATCAACATAGCAGTGACAGCAGAAGCCATATAATTGGACTGCATAAGAATGGGATTTAGAAAGATAAAAGAGACCAGAATAATCCTAGGAAAATATCACAGATTAAGAATTAAGCAGAAGGGCCGGCCGGTGGCTCACTCGGGAGAGTGCGGTGCTGATAACACCAAGGCCCCAGGTTCAGATCCCATATAGGGATGGCCGGTTAGCTCATTGGCTGAGCGTGGTGCTGACAACACCAAGTCAAGGGTTAAGATCCCCTTACCGGTCATCTTTTTTTTTTTAAAAAAAAAAAAAAAAAAAAAAAAAAATCAAGCAGAAGAAAGAAAGTTTTAAAAAAATGCTGTCGGAAAGTTAAAAACAACAGCAAAAATGGAAATAGCATCATTATAGCCAAGGGAGGATATGATACAAAATAGAAGGGCACGGAATTTGACAAATAGGCAGTATCTAGTGATCTGACAAAATTAATGTGAGAGGCAGAGAAGGAAAACATGGGGGTAAGGGGGAACTCGCATTTTCCAACTCTTCTGGAAGACTTTAGCTTTTTAAAAAATATATACTAAAACTACCATGACGGTCCGAATCAAACAATAAATCTAAGAAAATGTGTGCCATTTTAGATCTCAACGTTATTCCTCTCTGTCTGCCTGAGTCAATTTCGGCTGACTGCATATATGACGTATGAGAATAAATGTTTTAATATTAACATCTGAAACATTTTTCGTTTCTCAAAAAACCTTACCTCCCAGAATCATCAAAACAGACATCCGTGTGTCCCTCTGTATGTCCATATCTCATCGGCTTCTGTGTGGCTGGCATCTTTTCCTTTACCTACCTGAAAATGTTTTATAAAAACTAATATTATTTTAAAAGAGAGGGAAGCGGGAGGCTGAAGGGCAAGAAGAGAGGTTAGTCTCTTCCCGGGCACGCTCTCCACAGCCCAGTTTCCGCCACCCAAGTGGACCAGCAGGATACATCGCAGGGTCTGTCAGATAATAAGCCAGGAAGGGGACCCGCTTCTCCTCGGTGGGCGCGGACAGCGGGAGGGAAGCCTCACCCAGGTGACCGAGCCTCGGTGACTGAAGAAAGGAGAAGAGCAAGCGCTCGCGCAGAGCCGCTTCCCGCGCTCGGGCGCGCTCGTCACGCTGCGCATGCGCTGGCCCGCCCCCGCTCAGCACAGGTCTCGACGAAGGTCGCGGGTTGGTGGCGTCAGCTGAGCGCCCGCTGCGATGAGAAAAGCTGGTTGCTGGGGGAGTGAGAAAGGGAGCTGAACACGGAAGTGGTGGCGGCCCCTGGGGAGCAGGCGGGGGTGGTGACCGAGACCTACGAGGCAAGAACCGAGCGCCGAGGGACAGCGGGGGTTGCAGAAAGGCATCCGCCCTGTAGGACCTGTACGAGGTGCAGGAGTGGCTGGTCCTCCCTTCTCCACTCCAGAGAGCGCTCAAGAGTGATGGCGATGGTGATGGCGGCAGTTATTTGGACAGCCCCAGCTAAGCTGCGATCCGGGAGGTGAGCGGGGGAAGGGTGGCCGCTGCCTGGCCTTGCAGGCCCGGATCTTGCTCCTGCCTTCGAGGCTCTCCTCCCAGGCAACCGGATCCCCTTCTTGGGACCCAGATGGAGACAGATCTTTGGGCATCTTCTCTAGAGAAAAGACAAGGCGAGACCTTCTCGAGCCCTTAGTCTTGGCATCCTTCGTGCCCTCGTCTGTCACCTCTGCAGAAATAAAGGAGGAAAGCTTCCATTACCAGTTAAGTTACTCGGTCCCTGGAGGTATGGAGAGTACATTAATTCTTATTTATTGCTAATCTATCCAGATATCCCTGAAGAGGAAAGTAATTTGTTTCCCTATCCAAATCCCACATAAAGTTCACTGAACTGCGTATTTAGATCTAAAAGAAGAATTAAAACTAAGCTATATGGTTGAATATTTCATTTGGTCCTTTCAGTCTGTGCTAAGGCCTTGGCCATTCAGTTTATGCTTTCTTGTGTCTTCACGTTCTCTGTGTCGGTAGACCGATCTCTGAGAAAAACCTTCATGATGATACTCTTTCATTGGTATTTATCTTTGAGAATTTTTCTGGGTTTTTTTTTTTTGTTTTTTTTGTTTTTTTTCTGGTACTCACCTTCCAGTCTCAATCAGACTTATTTTATGACCTAAGTTAGACGTTTTTCAATGTAGAGATTTCCCTATTGTTTTCCAATCTAGTTCCCTTGTGAAAAGTTGCAAGCGCAGTTAGACAAACCGTGGTGTTCTTATGATGGTGGAATCGTATGAGGAATTGTTTTTAGTTCTGGGGCTCCAAATAGGCTTGCCAGACACTGACTGAGGTCTGTATATGAATGAAAAGGAAGAGTGGTTGGCTCAAAAAGAACGTGGGATTTATGGGAAAATAACGTACTGTTGATTTCCAACAGAAGCAAAGGTACCTGAGATGGTGCTTTCTGAGTGACTTAATCTTATTTGGAGATCATTCGTTTTCTGGATAGATTGGTTTATAATTTTTTTGTCAAAGTAACTTAATATCATTGGATAGAGTATGGCGTTCAAGATGAACTCTGATCATAGAGTCCAACAGTCCTAGATTTTAATTTTGACTCTGACACATTGTGTGACCTTGATATGCTTCTTTACTTTCCTGAATGTCAAATTCCTTATCTCCAAAATGGAGAGGTGCCTTCCTCCATTAAACTGAGTACATAGGAGACACTTATGGATGTATGAAACTAATTGTTATTAATGGAGTATTTTTGGTGGTATTTAGTGGTTTCGTTTAAAGTGAGGTTTGTTTAAATTATTATCCAGTAAAAATTTGCAAATATTAAAAGATGTGTTCTTGTTTTTGCTAGTATAATATGTTTTCATAATTCCATTTATTTCAGTCAAAGCCTACAAATTGTAATGGCTTCAGTGAGCTCATGATCTCATTGAGGGAAATAGTCATTCAAACAGTATGTGCAAGATGATAGTACAGTAATGAAATGTGTAACTTAAATATTAGCAAAATTGTCTGATTAAGGTAACAGCATTTTAAGAAGAAACCAATGTATAAATGTCAAAATTTTCACCATGGATTTATTTGTAATTAACAATGCATATCTTTTTTTTTTTTAAAAGATGACCGGTAAGGGGATCTTAACTCTTGACTTGGTGTTGTCAGCACCACGCTCACCCAGTGAGCCAACCGGCCATCCCTATGTGGGATCCGAACCCTTGGCCTTGGTGTTATCAGCACCGCACTCTCCCGAGTGAGCCACAGGGCCGGCCCAACAATGCATATCTTATAGGTGTGGGTAGCTGAAGAACTAACTGGGAATGATGCCAAGTTCACAGATTCAATTACAGTGAAGGCTAGTTAGCTTTGCTCTTTTGTGACCACTCATACTACCCTTAGGTCACAAATATTGCTGGTCTCAAGGGCAATAGGGTGAGAAAACATGGGTATATTATCATTCTAGCAATGGTGGTGTTATATAAAAGGGGTTTTCAAAAAGTTCATGGAAGGATTTGTATTATGTTTTAATTATTTTTTTCCATGAACTTTTTAAAGGTCATATATAAATAATATCATATAGTCTTACATAGTTTATCCGAGAGGCTATATCAGTATTTGCCTTGTGGAAAGAGTTTTAAAAATGCCTTTTCAATAAAATATGTACTTAATGTAAAAATCATTAATCCTGTGAATGATAAGGCTGGAAGAGAATATAACATTTGCTGAGGAGAACAAAGTATTGAAAAAACAACACTGAAGGCAGGATAGAAATCTGAAGATTTTATATTTCCAAGTGTGTCCTGAAACTTACTAGCCTATTTAATTTATTTTTTAGGTAAATAATGCTTGCGCCTGTGTAAACTCCATATGGTATAAAAGGGCATACAGTATAAGTCTCCCTCCTACCCATACTCTCAGCGGTCCAGTTCCCCTGGCTGAAGACAGCCAACATTTGATTCTTGTGTTACACTGACACTTATAGATGGAAAAAATAAGACTCAGAAAGGTTGTGATTTATCTAAAATCATATACCTACCAAATGTCAGAGCTAGAAATAGAACCCAGGTCTTTTACGTAATTCAAGGTAGTCTAACACACTGCTTCTCCAAGTTATAACTGTTTCCATAATACTTAGAATTTAATAAAACATATCAGGACATGAAAGCAATTTTATTTAAGTCTGGAGTCACCTTTTCCTATTTCTGTTGAAGTCTATTTATTTACTAAGTTACCTTGCAAGAAACTCCAAATTTTTTGTCATTAAAGTTTGGTTATTACACCCATACATTATTAAAGAATTCAAAACTTTAAAATTTTTTAAAAGGACATATTTAATATCAAGAGTAATATAAAGTGCTTTATGATATTTCAGAAATGCTGGAGGCTCCTTCACTTCAGATTTTCCAGGTATGTTTTTGTGCAGATTTCCTGGCCTTATGGTGTAGCCTTTGTTTCCTCTTTCCTTTTTCTTAATTTTGCCACTTTCCCACTTCTCATTTTTAGAATTAGCTTCTTCTACATGAAAAGTTCTGAATAATACTAAGAAGCAACTAACACTTATTTTCATTAAGCTCAATGTATGTTGTTTTTATACATTTTAATCCTGGCAGTAAAAACATGAGATAGCTGGCATTATCCAGATTTTACAATGGGGAAACTCAATCTAAATAAGATTTTTAAAGCAAGTAATATACCCAGTGAGTGGCAATTCTGAATTTTATCCCACGTTTTATGAGTTAGCAGCTTACGCTATTTCATCTGCAGCATGCTTATTTTTAAATATGGGATAGTAACAAACAGTGTAGGTTATTAATTATTTATGGGTCTCTAAAACTTTAAAATCTCTCTTTAGACTAAATTGGTCTGGTAGGAAAAAAGTTCAAGGAAATATGCCAAAATATCAAAATTGTTTGCTTCTAGATAATGGAATTACAGCTTTTTTCCTCCTTTTTAAACTTTTATGAATGTTCCATATATTGTATAATGAGCATATATTGTTTTTATAACTAAAAGATTTCAAATTGGAAGGGAAAAAATACTATCTGTTCAATTTATTCCATAAAGTGTTTCAGTAGTATATCTTAAATATTCTGCTTTCTTTTTTGTTTGTTTTTTGTTTTTTTGGCAGCTGGCTGGTTTCTAAGATTCTGTTAATCTTTCATCCATTTTTAGAAGCCCATGTACTTCCAGCATTTAGTTTTCTGCTTTCTTCATCCTAGATTAGCCTTCTTCAGAGACAGGTTCCTAGACATTTCTCCTTATCTTTAGCTAGTAAGTTCAGGAGATATACACTCACTTTAACATTAGCCTGTTAACGTTTTCCCAAAATTTGTTCAGAAAAAGGATTTGTGGTAAATTAAATACAGGCAGCTATGGTGTCAGCCTGTTTCTTTACTGAAGGACCTCGTGGAACCATTTACTAAATATATATTGTAATCTTCCAGAGGAAAAGCATTTCCCAAACTTATTTGGTAAGGAAACCACTATTTCTCCAGAATATGTAAATGTTTTTCAGAACCAGTATCCTCAAGAGTACAGATTGGGAAACACTGGCATAAGCAAATTATAACTAAGAAAGAAAGTAGAAAACGTGGGAAGAAAGGGGAAGGAGAGCATAGTGGTACTAAGTCAATGATTCCTTTTTTTTTTTTTTAATTACTAATCAGTTAAGTCTCATGAACTCTGGCTCAGTAGCATGTAAAAGGATACTTTAAAATATTTACTGGAAGGGCCCACTCGTGGCTCACTTGGGAGAGTATGATGCTGATAACACCAAGGCCATGGGTTTGAATCCCATATAGGGATGGCCGGTTTGCTCACTTCGGAGAGTGTGGTGCTGACAACACCAAGTCAGAGATCCCCTTACCGGTCATCTCTTAAAAAATAAAATAAAATAAAATATTTACTAGAAAATGTACCTCTGTTGCTTTTGTAATAAGGAAAACATTTTTTTTAGTTCAGAGATTGTTCTCATATGAATAAAACTGTTTTCATATTTTTTCATTAACATTTTAAGGAGTTCATCTGTTGTCTGCTATCCAAAAAATTCCATCTGTAGAGCCTAAATGTTTCTACAGAATTCAACTCAAATATCACAAACTATGATCAGAATGCTTTCAAGGAGTTCTTGGGCACGTGATGGCAGGTAAACTTTGGAATCATGGATTTGGTAGGTGAAGTCCCAGGGCTGAATACCAGAGTAATAATTCATTTGTGAATTCTTTATATAGTATTTTTTCCCCCCTTTTTGTCTTTTTTACTGACCGGTAACGGGATCGCAACCCTCGGTGTTGCGCCCGCACCGCGCTCAGCCAGTGAGCGGGAACCGGTCTCCACATGGGATCCGAACCCTCGGCGGGAGTGCCACCGCACTCCCAAGCAGCGCACTCTCCACTGTGCCACCAGGCCAGGCCTTTATGGTAACAGGATCGCAACCCCCGGTGTTGCGCCCGCACCGCGCTCAGCCAGTGAGCGGGAACCGGTCTCCACATGGGATCCGAACCCTCGGCGGGAGTG